CTTTTTTTCTATTCTCAAAATGTGTTCGAGACCTCTAGAGGTTTTTTTATAAAATGTAAAAGAATCTTGGGGATCTTGAATTTTGTTTTTGAAGAAGTTTTAAAGGCTTCTTTTGTCTGCATTTTAAGAATGTGAACAAATCTCGCAAAGCCCTTATATTTTATTTTTGAAATAATTGTTTAAAAGAATTTTGGAAGCCCTTGTTGGTTTGTTTTTGAAAGGGTTTGGAAGAATCTTAGAGCCTGCATGTGTTTTTTTAAGGATTAAGAAATAATTTTGTGACTCCCTTGTGTTTTGTTCTTGAGGGAATCTGAGGAGATCTCGAAGGCTCTTGATATTTTGTTTTTTAGCGTTTGAAAAATTTGTAGTGGTTCCAAGTGTCTTTTTGTTGAAAATGTGAAAGAATCTTAGGAATCCCTGGTATTTTTTTAAGGATATGAAATAATGTTGGGGATCTCCAGCGTGTTTTTTTTATTGTCAAAGTGTCTTAGAGACTTCTAGAGTTTTTTAGGAAATATAAAAGAATCTTGGGGCACTTGAATTTTGTTTTTGAAGAAGTTTTAGAGGCTTGTGGTGTCTTAATTTTAAGAAAGTGGAAAAATCTTGGAAGCTACTGGCATCTGTTTTTATTGTGAAAGAGTCTTCGAGACTTCTTGTGGTTTTTTTAGAAATTAATACTCTTGAGTTTTGTTTTTGAAGAGGTTTTAGAGGTTTCTAGTGTCTTTATTTTTTATCCTTTTTTAGATAATGTGAAAAAATCTTGAAAATAACTTGTATTTTATTTTAGAAACAATTTTTTTGAAAGAATTTTTTGGATTGTTTTTTAAATGACTTGAAAAAAAACCTATGGTTTCTTCTTTTTAAAGAATGTATTGCGACCCTCTTGTGTTTTGTCCTTGACATAATAAGAAAAATCTTGAAAGCTCCTGATGTTTTGTTTTAAGAAATTTTAAAGATTTTTAGGGGCTCCATAATGTCTTATTTTTAAAAACGTGAAAGAATCTTTGGAGTCTCTATTGTTCTTTTTAACAAAGTGAAAGAACCTGGTGTTTTTTTTATGATGCAAGAATTTTCGTGGGCCCTAGTGTCTTTTTTAAGAATATGAAAAAATCCTAGACACCCCTTGTATTTTATTTTTGAAACAATTTTCTGAGAGAATTTAGAGGGCCCATACTGATTTGTTTTGGAAGGATTTGAAAGATTTTCCCGGATCCGGGGTGTCTTTTTTTAAAGAATGCGAAAAAAGGTTGCAGATCCCTTGTGTCTTTTGTTCTTGAAAGAATCTTGTTTTGTTTTAAAAAATTTTGAAAATGTGAAAGAATCTTTAGAGTCCCTACTATGTTTTTTAAAGTAGTGAAAGAATCTTCGGGACCTGTGCCGTAATTTTTTTATTTTGCAAGAATCTTCGTGTTTTTTTAAAGAATATTAAAAAATCTCAAAAACCCCTTGTATTTTTGAAACAGTTTTTTGGAAGAATTTTGAGGGTCCATATTAATTTGTTTTTGAAAGAGTTTGAAAGATTCTCACGGGCCCCTAGTGTCTCGTTTTAAAGAATGTCATAAAGGTTGCAGATCCCTTATGTTTTTTGTTCTTGAAATAATCTTGGAAGTCCCTAGGGTTTTTTTAAGGGTGTGAAAGAATCTTGGAGCTTTTGAAGTTTTGTTTCTGAAGGGGTCTTAGAGGCCTCATATGTCTTTATTTTAGAAATGTGAGAGGATCTTGAGAGGTTCTATTTTTTTTTTTAAGATTGTGAAGAAACCTCGGAAACCCTTTGTATTTTATTTTTGAAAAAAATTGAAAAGATCTTGAAAGCTTCTGATGTTTTCTTTTAAAAAATTCGAAAGATTTTTAGGGGCTCTATAAGGTCTTATTTTTGAAAGTGTGAAAGAATCTTTGGGGTCCCTACTGTCTTTTTTAAGGAAGTGAAAAAATCTTAGGGACCACTGGCGTATTTTTTTTATTGTGCAAGTATCTTGGTGGGCTCTAGTGTTTGAGCACATGAAAAAATCTCAAAAATCCCTTGTATTTTATTTTTGAAACAATTTTTTGGGAGCATTTTGAGGGCCAATATTATATATTTATTATAGTTTGTTTTTGAAAGGGTTTGAAAGATTCTCACAGGCCCTTAGGGTCTTTTTTTAAAGAATGTAAAAAAAGGTTGCAGATCCCTTGTGCTTTTTATTCTTGAAAGAATCTTGGATCCCCCTAGTGTTTTTTAATCATGTGAAAGAATCTCAGAAACCACTGGTTTTTTAGAAAACATGGAAGTTGTTTCCGAAGGGATTTTAGAGGCTTCTGGTATCTTTATTTTAGAACTGTGCGACGATCTTGAGAAGCTCTAATGTATGTTTTAAAGCCTGTGAAAAAACATAGGAAATCTATTGTACTTTATTTTTGAAAAATTTTGAAAAGATCTTGAAAGCTCCTGATGTAAGTCTTATTTTTGAAAATGTGAAAGAATCTTTGGAGTCCCTACCGTCTTTTTTAAGAAAGTGAAAGAATCTTAGGGACCTCTGGCGTATTTTTTTTCTTTTATTGTGCAAGAATCGTCGTGAGCCCTAGTGTTTTTTTAAGAACATGAAAAATCTCTAAAATCCCTTGTATTTTAGTTTTGAAACTATTTTTTGGGAGAATTTTGAGGGCGTATATTAATTTGTTTTTGAAAGGGTTTGAAAGATTCTCACGGGCCCTTAGGGTCTTTTTTTAAAGAATGTGAGAAAAGGTTGCAGGTCCCTTGTGTTTTGTTTAAGGATGTGAAAAAATCTTGGACCCCCCTGGTGTTTTTTAATAATGCGAAAGCATCTTAGAAACCTCTGGTTTTTTAGAAAATATGAAAGATTTTTGGGGCTCTTGAAGTTGTTTCTGAAGGGGTTTCAGAGGCCTCTTGTCCCTTTATTTTAGGACTGTGAAAGGATCTTGAGAGATCTTTTTTTAATGCTTTGAAAAAATCTCGCAAACCTGTGGTCTTTTATTCTTGAAACAATTTGAAAAGATCTTGAACGCTGCTGCTGTTTTGTTTTTGAAAGAGTTCGAAAATCTTAGGTGTATCTCGTGTCTTTTTTTTAAGAATGTGAAATGAGTCCCCAATGTTGATTTTTTAAAGATGTGAAAGAATATTGGGACTAACTTTTGTTTTATTTTTGAAAAAAAAAACAAAAAAAAGACTTACGGACTTCTGGTACTTTGTTTTGGAAATAGTTGAATTTAAAAGAATTTTGGGGGCTCTTCTTTCTTATTAACCTGTAGAAATTGTCATAATAAAAATGATAAAATTCGCAGAATAAAATTGAAACAGGCAAGAATGAGACAAACATTAAGGTGAATTGGATACAAAATTCTAGGTTTTTGAATGGAGTGCAGCCAATTTTGAAAAAATAGTAATTGCATTAGTAACACAATTTTCTGTGTTATTGCCGTTTTTTTGAAAAATTAAATCTTGCTCTGGAAAAAACATAATTAATAATTGTAACAAATTACATCATTAAACAGTCAGTAACGAATTTGTATTTCCTTGGAACCAAGTTATGAGCCAGCTCCAACAACAATTTTTTCGTGCTGTGTTGTTCAAAGTTTTACAGTTATAAATCGAGCACTAATTATTATCACAGTTCAAAAACACCAAACGAATGACGTCGGCTTCAGCTAGCCAAAACAATTTTTTTATCTAGCGGGGTAAATTCCTTTGGAAAGACGACAAAAAGAATAATTCTTGTCTAGTCAATTACGAAGTTCGATAGTAAACAGAAAGAAAAATAGTTACATAAAATTTTACGCGCAGATTTTTTTTAAATTAAATTTTGTTGATTATACCATCGCTCCGCCTGCAAAAATTCGCGTAAATAATTTGGCACGACGCTCGCAGTCTGTATTCATTAGTTTTCTGCAAACCTACAAAACTTTTGTTTTCTATTTAAAACTCGGAGAATCCTTGAATGCGATTATTTTGTTTTCACATTCTTGCATGATGTGTGGGTAGTAGTTTAAATTAACAGCATTAACTTTCCAGTGATGTTTCGAATTTCTCAACTAACGAACTTAGTTTTATAAAGATTACGATAATTTATTCAGTTCGCCGTTTGTGTGTTGCATTTTGAATAATTAAAGAAAATTTCCGCTTATTTCGTGTAATACGTTTATCGATTATCATCGTGCATCGCCAACCAACACAAAACGCGCAATGACAGCACTCATTATTCCACGTTTGAATGTAAAACGCGATCATACCCTCTGCTGGAGAACAATACCTAATAAAATTTTTCCCGGAACAGCCTGACCTTATTCCACTCTCCACGTGAAAAGAAAGCAATGGAAAGTTTTATAGTGAAGTATATTTTATAGAAACATAAAAAACTGTCGGAACAGTATACTTTAATGAAATTTTCTATTCCAGAGCACATCTGTCACTTGTAGATAAAAAAAGAAGCTAACCTTCGGTTCTCATTCAAACTTGTTTGTCTGTGGGAGTTGGCCGTAAATTTGGATAAACTCCAATCCCGAAAGTATAGAGGAGTATTCGCGGTTTTCACGAACTATCTCTCGTCCAATCGTCACATTGATTGCGACTTTTAATCCGCAAGGAGTTGCACTTTTCTATTTGGAAGTCGGTTAGGAAACTTCAGCTTAATTCGGCTCCGATTCCGCGGAACTCGTCTTCCGCAATAATTAAAAATTGTTTTCTTCTTGGTGCTTCGGTGGCGTGGAAGGAGTTGATAGAGGTGGCGTAATAGGGTGATTTAAACATTTGTAGAATCGGCTGACGAAGGAAACGAAGGCAAATAATAAAAAGAAACGTTTTTGTAGTTAAAATTCGATATTCTGTGTTTGTTGTAATTTTCGTTTTCAAGAAATATAATAAATGTATTGTTTTGGTGTTTGCGCTTAGGCGCCTTCCCCCTGGGTCACTATATCTAAAAGTCGCTTCGGAAACCTGAACTCAATTTAACTCTTCCAAGAAACTCTCCCCACAATAATTAAAAATTGTTTTCTTGTCGGTGTTTCAGTCGCGCGAAATGAGTTTGATCGAGACGGCCCCCGCAGGACTCTTCCAGGAGATAATTAAATTGCAATTAAAGAAGCCGAAGAACTGGAACTGGCAGCTATCCACCTCGAAATCGTCGCCCCACATCGCCCTCCCAATAATCCAACTCTACAATTCGAAAGGACAATTGGTCCTCGAGGCGAAGGACAGCGGGGCGACCCAGAGAAGAAGTTGGCACAGTTCGGACGCACCGAAAGAAACAACCGCAAACGTCAAGAGGGAGAATAAAGAACCGACACAGCGACATTTACAGAGATGTAGAAGCGACACATTAGAAACTGAGAGGAGAAACCGCTCGGCAAACAAATTGGATTCGATAAAAAGGAGAGAGATACAGAGATCGACGAATAATAAATTAAGCAAGAGTTCTAGTGCGGTGTTAGATAATTCGATATCGAGGAAGGGCGCAGATGCGACTAACGAAAATAGAAAATCAAGGAGCTACAATGAAAATTCAGTTAAAGGAGAAGACGGGGGATGTGGGGGGAGGGGCATGCATGATTTGAAGAAATCGAGGAGCGATGTCATCGAGCTTAAAGGTAAAATGACACTTCTCGCACGGAATTCTTAGTTAGTGGAGGGTGCTAAGGCAACATTAAGGGTGTTGGAGGGTTTTTATTGAAGCCGACAGGGTTAGCTTCAATTTGCTATATAATTCACACGAGATTTTGAGGGGTTTTATATTTTATTTGAAGGTTTTGCTGATCTGCAAGATTTCTTAAGTGGAAAACGTGTCCTGTTGACGGAGATAATGTGTTATGGCTGTGATAAATTTTTATACACTGGTAGCCGTGTTCGTTGAGTAATTTTTATTGGAAAATGCTTTGAAACGTGGTTTTGTTTGTGCGTTAGAAATAAGTTTTTATTAAATGGAATCGCTTACGCAAGATCCTTACAAAAAATTAATGTGTAACCGATATGGTTAAAAAAGATTTCATTTCCTAGAAGGTATAATACGTTATTTTTTTCTTTGATATCGTGGTATAACGATTTTTTTATTGCGCAGCACATTATATCAAAAATTACTGTTAAAGTTTTCAAACATTTTTGAAGTTGACGTGCGGGAGGTAGAAGAACTAAATTATTTTCTTTTAATGTTCCTAGAACACGAAAATGCATATTTCCGGTTTCCGTTGGCTGTTGGTTATTGTTATTAGAAAATTCGAAACTTCTAAATCGATTGTTTTCTTACATTTTCTTATTTTTCTGTATAAAATGACGCCATCAATTTATTAATTAGAGGAAAACGCGAAAGGATCGCATTTAACTTATACATATTTCATTGTGTTTTGAAAATTTCACAGAAATCCGGCTTCAGATTTTAACGGATTTATAGACCACATTTTTAGGCGTCTATTAATGATATTATTACATATTTCACATGGAATTTATGTATCAAAATTTTGAAGAGGACCAATAGACAAATTTTGGTTAGCGATTCATCAAACTAATGATAACCTCAAAACATGTGCTAAATTTCAGAGCAATAATTGGTTTATTAGTTTCTAGAATACATTGCAAAATGCTGTAGTACAATTTTAATTTTTTTCCAAAAATCTACATGTCAAAAGTAAAAAATAAGGATGGATTAAAAAAAACATGAAAAAGATATTTTAATGTAAAATTAAACTGATGAACCCAATAAAACTTTGGTTAGCGTTTAAACATCTACACAAAATCTCTAAAGTTCATCCAAAATTCCATAGCAATCAGTTCGTAGTTTCGAAAATTACGTATCCAATAAAATCGCCAACAGACCGACTACAGAGGACAGACAAACGGAAATGGTAAGATTTTCGCATTTGACAAGCCCTGAAGCGTTAAGACAACTTGAAATTGGTCCTTCGTCAGCAGACGTTAGGGCACTAAAAATTGAAACTTGCAACAATTTCGACCCGCGAAATATATAAAAACCATCATCAGGCCTATAAACGTTTGCAAATTGCATACAGTAAACCACGTTAAAATTGTTTAATAATAATAATAATAATAATAAAATTAATAACAGCATTCTTTTGATACCTCGTATAATTGTTTAATAGCAAATGTTTTTTTTTTACAGTAGAATATTAAATCATAAGTATTAAATAAATTCGTGCCCTGACATAATGACTCGCTTGAAGAAAAAATATATTAATTCTGAAATACACAAACACCGGGTGAGTATTAATGATTGAAGCAAATTTTTGAGTTAGCAATTCTGAATTATTGGCACCACTGTTAGTCAAGTTTGACATGAGCGCGCCTAAAAAGCAATGAGAAGATGGCAGCCGCTGAATCAGTACCATCATAAGTTTTAAATATGTTGCCAATTTGACAAAAAAAACCCAAATATTAATAGTCACTGGTATTTCCAAGATAGCCTGTGTATTCAATCAATGAATATTTTGGTAAAATTTGACAAAAGTTTGTTCTGGAAAATTGATTCGTATAAATTTCGTATTTTTAACAATGGTTTTACGTCCAAATTTAAAACAAAGCGAGAGAGCAGGAGGTCATAGCGTGTGAGCAACATAATTCGTAGACGTAAACGTATGTAGCTACGTTCTGAAGTCTTAACCTACTTCTCTCTGGCTGTCAGGTCAGATTTAAACGTCAAGAGTTTTAGAACTAAATCACTTCTAAGAAAAGAGGGGGTTGCCAAAATCAGTTTCATCTTAACAGGTAGTAGCATCCTTTTTATTGGTTATTTTTGCAGAAAAAATCGAAGAAATTAAACCATGATACATAAGCTCTTCAAATATCGTTTAACGACTTTGAGATGTTCTTTTTTAGAAATGTTTTTTGTATTCCTCTGAATAATAAGACTGGGATTTGCTTTATATTCGTGGTACTCTGTTATTAGTTAAACTAAAATCTATAAATATCACTTTAGGCTTCTGATGTTTTGTGAAAGTGTTTGAAAAGATTTTGGGGGCTCCTGATAATTTTGAAATCTTGGGTTCCTCTAGTGGTTTTTTAATGTCAAATAATCTTGTATCTTGGCAAGTACTAGCCTCGCCCACCCGCCCTCTATTTTCTTGGAAGGTATATCATTTACTAAAATCTCTACTTCCTAAGATAAGACTGATTTTGGCAAATCACATAGCTTCGAAGAAAATAGAGGGTGGGTGGGCGGGGCTAGTATTTGATAAGATTAGACTACTTTTGGCATTTTGTCATATCCTTTTTCCACTCCTACACAAAAGAAGAACATAATTAGCCCCGCCCACCAGTGATTGATTTTATCCGATCTGAATGTTCTACTGAACACAATCAAATTAGTCGTTAGAATGAAAAGAAGGGGAAAGCTGGGCGGTGCTAGTGTTTTTTTCTTAATTCAGTACATAGAGCAACAATCTGTATAATGTAATATTTAAAATGTAAATAAATAAATACATAAATAAATACATAAATAAATAAATAAATAAAAAAATAAATAAAGACTACCTATTTGAACAAGATAAGAATGATTTTGGCAAATCACGTAGCCTCTAAGAAAACAAAGGGTGGGTGGGCGAGTCTAGTACTTGTTAAGATAAGACTGATTTTGGCAAATCATATACTCTTTAAGAAAATACAGGGCGGGGCTAGTACTTACCAAAGTACATACAAATGATTTTGGCAAATGATATACTATTTAAAATAATAAGAGGTTGGCGATAGCTACTACATGCAGGTACTACCCCGCCCACCCACCCTCTATTTCTTTAAATAGTATATCATTTGCCAAAATCAGTCTTATCTTAAGAAGTACTAGACCCGCCCAACCGCCCTTTATTTTCATAGAGGATATGTGATTTTCCAAATCAGTCATATACAAGGTGTTTTTTTATTTGATACAACCCCTGTAACTTTTTTATTCTTAAAGATAAACCTGTAGTTCTTTGAGCAAATGCATCATTTTAAAAGATCTATGTGATGGCAATCTCACATTTATTTTATAACTTCCGGTAGAACCGGAAATGACATCAACTTAATTTTTTTTATGGAACACTAGGTATATTTTTTCATAAATGGAAATACTGATTTTTTTTAAAAATCAAAGACAACCAATATTTCTAAAATCAATACTTAAAAAGTTATTAAATAAAATACACGAAAAATTCATCTTAATTGATGACAATCTAGTAGCTTGAAAAATTGACACTTATGTCATTTATTCACATATGTGATCTTTTAAAATGATACAAATTTGGTCAAAGAACTATATGTTTATTTTTTAAAATAAAAAAATTACGGGGGTTGTATCAAATAAAATAAACACGTGGTATACAATCATATCGAACAAGTATAGACTAAAAATTTTGTTTCAGAAGCCTTCTGCGATTACGAATTATATTGCTCTCCTATTATTATATGATAAAGAGAAAAATTGTCAAGCACCCTTTGAAATTTAATGTTAAAAAAAATATGTTGGCAATACCAGGGCGTTTTTTGTTCCTGTTAATCATTTCGGCATTTAAAATCAAATAATTGTCAAATCAAATATCAAATAATAGTAGTGCCAACATCTTTATTGCGAAAATAAATCATTTGGTATAACATAAACGATCCCAATAGCTCTTTGGTTGGCGGCTTGACATTTATCGGTTTTATTATGCATGTTGCTTTATTTAATTAAAAAAAAATCTAAAAAAAATCTGAAAAATTATCCTAATAAGATTTGATGTCGATTCGATCAGTATTCATATCTAATTCTTTGACATGTTATTGGATTTTGACAGATCCAAGCGATAAAATATTGCCCACCTTAATTTTTACCATTCAGAATAGTGGCTAAACTCATGTCACTGACATTTGTTTGTCACTAACTTTTTTCTACGACTTAAAAATATCACATTACACTCATGTCCAATGACTATCTATTAGTGCTGTGTTTTGTTTTTGTCAGGTTGGCAAGATATTTAAAATTTTATGATGGCATACCTGACCTAAAACTAAAATTTTGGGCACTAATTCAGCAGCTGCCGTTTTCTCGTTTGTTTTCTAAGCGCTCATGTCAAATTGACAGTTGCTTTGAACCAACATGCTAACATAGAAGGTAATAATTCAGATTTACCAACCCAAAAATTTGCTTCAACCATTAATAAAGCTGCTATTTTTCAGTAACTGTTTATTTAATAACTTTTGATATGAAGTCGTTGTATTACATGCTGTGCATATAAATACCGAGTGACTATTAATGATGGAAGCAAAGTTTTGTGTTGGCAGTTCTGAATTATTGACGGCAATGCGAGTGTCAGTTTACAGATATCAGGTGTCAATGTTGAAACGCCAAACAATTTGACAAAAAAGTGTATTATCATAAGGTTTTAAATATGTATGTTGCCAACCTGACAAAAACGTCACAACCCTTAACAACACTCGGTATTAGTTGTTGTGGAATATAAATTTCATAATAAAGTCGGAGGCAAAACGTAGCGACAAAGAGTAACATACACTTGATTTGTCAAAACTCTGAAACCTTGGCCACTACATTTTAAGTGTCAAAATAGAATGAATGTATTGTCAATTATATATTGATGTGTAAGTGATACTATGATGTCAACCTAAATTTTTATCATACTGAATTGCGACTAAACCCAAGTCTGTATATAATATAGGAATCTCCTGAAGATTTTGACACAAATGGCGCTTCTTTATCGCTAAATTTTGTCTGTGACTTTAGATTTTTCTTGTTATATTTTCATTATAATAAATTTTTCATTTTTGTTACTATTTCAATTGGTATCAATAAATTTTGCGTCAAATTAATACAACTGTCACCCTGGTAAAGTACTTCCTGTTATTAAAATTGACAAGTTTGGCAATGACATTTAATTTAAATCGAAATTTCTTATTAATCTTTATAAAAATGGCATAACTAAACTTTCTTGAGCACTAACTTGACAAAGTGCTAAAGATTTGAATTAGGTTTGACAATAGCAGCGCAAGAAAATTCTTTCAGAATTGGTGAATTCTATTGCCAACTCAAACAGCAATTGTTGCTCACGCTGTAAAATGCCATTTCACGGTTGTCAATTTTGACATGACTGCGCCTAACAGATATGTTAAGCAGATGGCAGCTACTGATTTGGTGTCATAAATGTCAATTTGACAGTAAAGTGTGCTGTCATAAAATTTTAAATATGTTGCCAACCTGACAAAAAACATCACAAACATTAATAATCACTCGGTATACATTTAATAACAAAGTCGTAGACAAAACTGAAAATAGTCGACACTTGATTTGTCAAAACTGTGAAACTTTAACCACTAGCTTTAAGTGTCAAAATAGGCTAAACGCACATCTGTATATAGATTATAATATCCAAATTCCCTGAAAATGTTGACGGAAATGACGTTTCTTTGTCGCTAATTTTTTTCCATTTTTGTTACTGTTTCAGTTAGTATCGATAAATGTTGCTTCAAATTGATAGAACTGTCATTCCAGGTGAGGTAGCCCTCCTGTTCTTAAAATTGACATGGTTGACAATATTGACGTTTAATTTAAATCAAAAATTGTTATTCATAAAATAAAATCTCATAACCTAACTTTCTTGAGCATTTAAAAAAAGTGGGAGTGCTAAGTATTTAGATCATATTCGATAATAGCAGGGCAAAAAAATCTTGAGAGTCGTGAATTATATTGCCAACTTAAACACGCTGACTGCCAATTAGAGACAACAATAAACATAGTAGGCGTAGTACATCATGCTTATGTCAGTCGATGACATTTCAAATTCAGATTATTTATTACCTACTTTCAGTGCTGTTACGCAGAGTGTTGTTAAAATTAATGTTATTCCAAGTTTGTGCAGTTATTTCGGGATCTGACAAAAGAAAAGATTCTGCAGAATGTTCTGGAACGAACAAGAAATTAACTAAACATTGAAATAAATCTACGAAGCGTCTTAGCAGCGTATGCATAAAATGTGCATTTTTTCTCGGATATGTGTTAAATTTAACAGTTTTAAAATTACTATGGAATTAATTAAATGCCTTATTCATCGATTTGTTTGTTTTTGTTTACGTTGAAATTAATAATATAATTATAACCATTAAAATTTGTGTGTGGACATTTGTGAAGTTTCTCTGCATAGGCAACTATGATTTCTTGTTGCAGCAAAATTGGCACTGGGGAGTGTTTAAACGCTGGTTGAAACGTTAATTACTTGGGAACTCTTTATCGTAGAAAGTTCGCGTTTTCACCAATTGAAATTTAATTCGGAAAGGGAGTCTTATTTAGAAAACTATCCATATACATGGATCGTATAAAATATGAATGAATAGTTTTTTGTATGGGTTAAATCAACAAGTTTTCACAAGTAATAAAAACATTTTCAGTTAGAGTAAGCTGTGGTCATGACGTCATTCTAGTCAGTATTCAATTGAGCAAATACATAGAGCTAAAATGTTAGGTTAGAAAGTAATGTCATTTACACTGTAATTTTTCTAAGTAGTGTCCAAAGTGTGTTAAGCATTCGATTTTTACGTTTGACTAAAATGGAAATATATACAAAATTTCGAAGTAGCCGGTTCTGAAAAAATATACTTCGTAGCTGTCTGAATTATGTATTTAATGGCTTGTGAAACATCAAGGAAACATAAAATGAGAGTTTTTTTTACAAAATGTGACACACTTAAAATTAGGAAAATTTATCTCTATGTTTGAAAACTTTAGTAGCAGAACGCATAGTAATAATAATAATAGCCAAAATTTGTTTGTTTATGACAACTAATCCGCATCACAATCGATACCTTCAAAGAAACCCTTCAATGCAAAACAACCCCTACAAACTCCACTACCTTCTCGCCTCCAATTTCTTATGCCATAAATAATAATAGACATAGTACATAGTTAGTTTGCATACTAGCTTGACTTCAAGTATACGCCAAACCGGCACACCCCCTGGATATGTATGGTCTGCAGATTTAGGCTGACCCTATATTTGCCTCCATACTTTACATAGGTAGATGTTTATCTGAGTCGAGCAAACAATAAGGAAAATTTTCGTTGCAGGAAATCCCCGTTTCGCTGAAACTTCCAAACGGAACCCTCTGCGCCCGATAACATCAGTTGTTGATATCGTGGAAAACAAAGAAAAAAACGACGTCATCCAGAGCCACCGCCGTTGCAAAAGCGACGACCTGTTTCGCAGGAAATTAAAATACAACGAAGAAAGCTTGAAGCGTGCGGAGATTGACGGTTACCGAAAGTTCGTAACACCAGCGACACTCCAGAATGCTTTATTGGCTAACAACCCTGCTAATATCGAACATAACAGGTACACACTTTTGAGTTACACGCGAAATTGTTCGCAATCTGTTTGTTTGTTTCTACGAAATATATCTACAACGGAACTACATGTGTACGTGCTTTCATTTACACATTCGTAGATTAAACTTGGTCCCGATCTTCGCTCGCTCTAAATGCGATATATGGCACTAATTAAATTTTTTTTCTTTGTATGATTGGATGGCCGCCGCAGGTACAAAACCCGCACGAGCAGCGCCGGCACGTTAATAATTACGAACGAGAGTTTTAACAACCGCCACCGACGCCGGCGGCGTCGCGACGCGTCAATAGAAAACTCGAACAACGCCCAGAATAATGCGGCTCTCAAGAAGGACACAAGTGAAGGGACCACTTTGCATGTTAGACAAGGCGGCGATCCAGCAAATCTCGAAACAACCCTCTGCGAGATGGAACAACAGCAGGAAAATCGATACAGTTCAACTGCAGAACATAACAACATCGACGCAACGCCGAAAACTAGGTAATCAACTTGCGATTTTTATGCGAGTTGGGAAATTTTGGCGGTGGAGATATTATTGTTTGCTGGGGGGTTTTGTTTTGATAATGTTTGACTGCCGTGCTTTGCTAACTCGGGACGATTACGAGTCTGGAGGGCTGTAAAGTCCTCATTACAACTTTACACTTATGGTAGTTCAAGTTCAAAATTTGACTAATGGGGGTTGGAGGAAGTTCGGTGTTAAAGGGAATTTGTTTGCGGCTCTAAATGCGAATGACAATGAGTTTTCGTTTGCGCGATTTCACTATTCCTTGGAGAGGGAGGGTAGAGGGCGCTAGTTTAATTTTATGGTCAATTAATTGATATTTGTTGGCTTGTTTGAAATTTATTGAATGCAGAAGTTTTTAAGAAGTTTTCTGGTGGAATATTTTTTGAGTTTGATCTTTCTTTTTTTTTTAACTTGACATGGACCTGAACACATAACCTCTTCAGCATATTTTTGATTCTCATGGCACAATTTTTACTACCCTAGAAAAAAAAACACCAATTTAATATTCTGATTTTAATAATGAAAAAATGGTGGAGGAGCCGGGATAGGCGACCAGGACAAAATATGATAAAAGTATATTTGTTAATGTTGAGTGGAGACTGTTAATGTAGTAATAATGCGCCACATGTTATGTTTCACCCTCTTTAAGGAATGTTGTTAAACTCTGAGACAAAATAAAAAGCGAAACGTACTTAACAAAAAAAAAAATATATTCAATCATGCGAACGTTTACAATTTTGCCTGAATGTGTAGTTAGTGTAAAGTCATTAAATGGAACTGGTTAAATATTTTTAAAATTATTCATCCTGAATCCTTGAATTTTACGATGTATTGTTTTTATATATCACGTATCACATAGCTTTACCTTTTACAACAGCAAAAAATCTTTATTTATCTTACAAGTGGAATAAAAATATTATGGCTATACGGGTGCGAAAGTGGCTCATAACGAAACGCTAGCAGTTGTGTAACAACACGGGTCTAAAAATAATGTTTAACAAAATTTCTCTGTTATTTCAGAGTGGGTTAAAATGGATTTAAATGCTTGTTTTTCCTAGATCGTAGATATATTTGTGTAAACATGTACATTTTGTAGAAAATTGTTCATTTTATTTATACTTATTTACTTTATTTTTTGTCGTTTTATTTTATTTCTTTTTTTTTTTTTTTTTCTTAAAGTTACTCTTATGGATTCTGATAATTCAAGTCAACCTAAAAATAGTAATAGCGTGCTTATAAAAACTTTAAATTATTCCACATGAATAGGTAACTTAGTAATTGTACAGCACAAATTTCATTTCTACTAATTTTAAATGTTGCGTGTCAAATTAGCGCTACATAATCAAATTATCAGAACAGAAATAACGTCCATTTGTAATAAGTCCTTTACGCTTTTATTTTCTATGACAAATAACAGACTATTTCTTCACAGCAATGTAATTATGTTAATCAGTGGAAATTAGCAAGGAAAAATAATTTTTTGTTAAATTTAAATATCGTGACTAAAGAAACATAAACTTATAGTAAGTAAAAACCTGTTTTGATGAAAAAGTCCGCTGGGAAATTTCAACATACATAACAATGAAAACCAAAACAAAAATTACAATTTAAAGTATCGCAAGATTTAATTATGCTAAAATTTTTGATTTTAAATTTCAGTCTACTCGAACTCGAAGCAATCAGTACAATTTTTGAAAAAAATCTTTTATTTTTCGACCCACAAATGGCTACATCTTCTCATCTTATTACATAAAAATATAGGATGTTTCATTTCTACTTATAGTTCAGCCAAAAATATAGTGCGGTTATGGCTTAATACCTAATCATCTTCGGTAATTTTTACGAAATGATTTCAATACGGCACGTGATCTACCTGACCACTGTAAAACGCAATATATCTTAAAAAAAAGAGATGAAGATTATATTTACAAAAGTTATTTCTATTTCTGAAATACATTTGGATATTCTTGATATACTTTATAAAGCTGATCACATAAAGAGGGTCAAATTTTCTACCCACACACGATTTTAACTTAAAAGGATTTTATTTTCTTTTTTAGTTGAATATCTCATAAATGCTTTCACCACTTCATAAATTTCACATGTCGAATCGATCGGATATTGCTATGACGTCACGCTCAGATGAAGCGTTATGCTGTTCTAATTTGAATACTACAGAGCCTAGAGAACTATGACTTTTCCTAAGGGCGCCAACATACATATACCTAAATATATGGGTGAGTCACTAAGCGCACGGTCCTCGATATCTCAATAGTTATTATTTAGTTTTTTTTTTTTAATGAAACTATATATTTTTACATATTGTTGTCATTAGCCTCACCCCAGATTTTATATCTGACTACAGTTTATTTTTGAAATTCCGATGCGACGTTGCCACGTTATTCCAATTTCCTCGAAATTTTTTTGTAAAGAAATAAATATTTTGCAGTTAAGCTCCGCCCGCTTGGTTCACGGCGAATAAAAAAAATCTTCACAATAGAGATAGGGCGGGTGGGCGGGCTTACATTTTGCCTTTTTGTTTTAATATGTGTAAACTTCTTTTCACAAGATGAAACTTAAAACATGTTTAAAATGGAAAATTTGTATAAGGATATATCGATTTTGCTAATAGGCTCCGGCTCAGAATTGCAAAATCCATATTTACTTGCAAAAATGTACCATTTTAACCATGTTTTAAGTTTCTTGTTGTGAACAGATGACTATGTATATAAAGAAAAAAAAGGCAAAATATAAGCCCCGCCCACCCGCCCTATCTCAATTCTGATGATTTTTTTATTCGTCGTAAGCTTTCCTCGTAAAATCCTTATTTGTCTACGAGAAATTATCAAGTAAAATATGTTTGTAAGTAATCCTGTTACACAAAGAAAACTAAATGTATTAATAAAAAAAGAAAACCAAAAGAGAAACTCCACCCATTAAGTTTCTTGTTGTGAAAAGAAGTCTACACATATTAAAACAGAAAGGCAAAATTTAAGCCCGCCCACCCGCCCTATCTCTATTGTGAACATTTTTTTTATTCGCCGTGAACCAAGGGGGCGGAGCTTAACTGCAAAATATTTATTTCTCTACGGGAAATTAAAAAATGTTTTTGATTATCGTGCTGTTCAAAGAATATCCTGTACATTAAGAAAAATAAAGCCAAAGATTAGGCCCCGCCCCGATCTGAATTCTCAGTTGTTATGAATTTTTCATTCGTTGTGAGATCGAGGGGCGGGGCTTAATTGCAAGATCCATATTTGTCTAGAAAAAATTATTTAAACATGTTTTAAGTTTCTTGTTCTGAAAAGACGACTATGTATATTAAGTAAAATGGGTCTGTCTTACAATATTTTGTGGAAGAATAAATATGTTGTGGTATCAATTAAATCTAATTTTAATATACAGAATGTTTATAAAAAAAATCTAAATCTTTACAACTTTTAAATATCAATGTTAGTTTTTTCAAGTAAAACACTTGTATTTTAATACTGTTATGAAATACATCTTTATGCCGCCTCGGTACGACACCTATGACCGTTGGTCTTACGCCGGTGATGATTCATCCTCAATGCGACTGAGCGACGGAGCGCTAAATAAACGCCTGGAAACGGAAGTCGCGAATAGGGATTCCGGAGAAGTATAGAAGCGGTGACGTAGGGTTTCGAGAAGGACCGCGTAGTGTTTAAATAGAGTCCACCCTTGGGGAACGGATTATTCAGCTAGTTGAGTCAAAAGAAGTTGCGCCGGAATTATTTTATAATCGGTATGATAGTTACTCGTGTAAATTATAGTTAATAAGGAATAAATTGTTGAGTTTAACCCACGCCAATTTTATTCGACCGTTCAACGTAACAATACCGTTTCGTATTGTAATTTTCAAAAAAGTTTTCACAGTAACTATCAATTTTAAATATAGTAAAAACTTAACAAAAACGAAAGAGAAAAAAGGGTGTTCTATTTAAAAAAACTGAAATATCGATGTATAAAAAATTTAATGTCATGATAAAGTCGCATCGAAATTTCAAAAATAAACCGTGGTTTTACGACTGAGAAGAGGTGAATCAAAATATGTAAATGTATGAATATAGACTATTTGATTAAAAAAAAACTAAGATGTGTTTGTGCGTTAAAAACAGAACACTTTGTAGAGTTAAAAATATTTTTAAAATACAGTCCTCAAAGAACCGTACAAGTTTGATATTTGACTTATTCTTCTACTAATTAATCAGATATCGAGGAATGTGCGCATAGTGACTCACCCTGTATATATGTATTCTTTATTTTTTTTTTAATTTGGGACAGCGCACTTAGGGACTCATTCTGTATGTGTCACGTTTTGTAAATGAATTTATTACAGAGCATTATATCATTAAACCTGTATTTTACATCCAATACCACGTAAAGGATTCTAATAAAAAAGTATAAAAAACCATTTTTGACCAGTTTCTACGCCACTTCTGCCACAAATTATTGTACAAAAAATATATATACAGTGTGTTCACTAAACCTGTGGCAAAAATCCATTTCCAGACAAAGCTTTTTCCCGAAAATCATTCAAGGACAAAAAAATCTTAAAATAATCCAAGGAATAACCCCCACGACTTTTGCGGCATATTTAGGAAACACTCTATATACCAACACACACGTAGGCATTAAATCTGAAGTTTTACACATACTTGTTTTTATGGCACTTTCCTTCTTTTTGTTATATATTTTTAGATATTGACTGACAGCCTACAGAATTTTTAAAATATTAGTAAGAACATTAAAACACAATTATAAATTTGTGCCAAAAATTTGTTATTTCTTTTACGTAGACCTTTGACAATAAACGATATGTTTATAATAAACAACAAAAGCACTTAAAGCATTCAGACGTAGTTGTTTTACTTATCGGTAAGGTAAAATAAATAATTTAAACTTTGTGGCCTTGGTGTCTTATCAACCAACATATTGTAATTTTTACTTTTGTATAAACAGTCACTTGAATTCCAGTAAACTTACTGGACACTGAAGTGACATCCTATTAAAATTTTATTTTGTTTACAACATTTTATCAACACCAAAATCAATATGTGCCAGTTCAAGTATGCAATGTAATCAATTTTTCCGACTTTTCCACCTCGTGTGTTTTTTAAACTTCAAGTTCAAACGAAGCCAGTACACGTAAGTAGTTTTTAAAATCAGTCTAAAATAGCAAATGAAGTGAATTTATCGCCGTACACAATCTACGATTTATTTATTTCAGGAACACCCACCTTTGTAGATTTTCTTTTTAATTCCTGAAACTTCGTATAAAGTTAACATCAAAAAACAAAATTCCATTTTAATTACGCTGTTAAACTCCGTGACTTTCTTTTGGTCTTTGAATGGGGTCCTACATTTAAACTCCAGGAGATTTGTAATTAAATACGTTAATCAAAAACATAATTAAATGTCATCATATCGCCTTGCCTTGTGAATCTCTAGCTTGTAATTCTAAGCATTCCGAGTGTTCAAATACATGGTCGCTACATTCGCTTCCACCTCCACAGATATTAACAAGACCCTCTACAAAGATTAACTTCTAATCACTTTGATACTACGTCACAGATTGAGAACATTTTAATAACATCTTGCTACAAAATTGCCTTTGAAGTATCTTATATGTTCTACAAGACGGCGACAGTGGCGTAGTAACTCCCGTAAGGCACGAGCTAGTAGTCAAAGCTCTATTGACAACAGGTTCGCATAATTAAATTTTTTTTCTGGTTTTTACTCGACAACTATTCATTCGCTTCAAGTTTTGATGAAAATATTTTCATGTAAAAAGTCACTTTGAGGATTCCTTGTTGTTACGCCATTGGAAGTCGAAATTAATTCGCTTTATAAATTTCATATTGCCTCGAAGCAACCTCCCCGCAAACATCAACTGTTGATAAACCACCCAATCTCGATCTAAATCTTTTCCAGATTCCACGAAAACAAAGCGTCGAGGAAAAATGGAAGCGCTCCCGCCGGTCTGTTTTATTCTCGCAGTGATATATTTCCGTTCGAAAAAACACTAAATAACAGAGTGGACGAAAAACATGACGATAAGTGTAATTACATAGTGCACGACCCTGTGGTTCTCGACGGCGATAATAAAAACCGGAAAAACGCTCGGGCAATTATCGAAAAATTGGAACGGAAAAAACGCAAAAAAGTGCGGAGACATTACAGTGATGCATCAACGTCGCCCAGTCGGGAGAAGAAATATCAACATAAAAGAAAGGGAAACGGGACAAAAGGTAAGGGAAATTGGCTCTCGATTGATCGGGATTATTAAATTTCGGTTCGCAAATTGATGTTTGATTTGTTGCTGGAATCGTTAACCTTTTATTTGGAAAACTTGCTCGGAACAGAGGACGGCGGCTCCACGCACGGGTAAAACGCACAGTTTGGCGGTTTATAAAATTCATTGAAATGGGTTGAATGATTTAGCAGTTGCGAAGGCGAAGAGGGGCTGAAAATTCTAATTTATAATATATAAGTAGGTACGTTTGACGGTATTCAGCACAAATCAAATTTTTTTTCCAGCTACGTAGCAATTTGTTCATTGTAGACGATTCCGTTCAATGTCTCTTGAGTATTTTTCACCTTTTAACCATTTATGTTTTTTGTGTGCTGAAAAATCTGACAATGTGTGGTATCCACTTATTTAGAACCTGGTAAAATTTAGCAAAAAGCAGAAACTGCACTCGGAAAACTCCCTTGCAAATATTATCCCTGATGTCAATTAGCCTTATAATGACCTTCGACGGATTAAGGTAAAGATTAAACTAATGGTTGACCACAAAATACCCTTCCCAAAATTATGTTTGTTTATCTTAACAGGCACCTGTTGGACTTCTTTGTGAGGATAATTTACAACCCAATTCACTTTTCGCTTAGAGACTTTCCTTTAAAACAGATGCACTGTTACAACAGAATTATGTTCAACAGTTGCAACCAAAACACGAAATCACAGATGCTATTTTTTTTTAATACGTTGTACATATATTTGATAAATTCGATAGTGGGGTCGTAAATTAGTTGGTTGTTGCAGATGTAGAAATAAATTTGTGTTTTGTTTATTGTCTATACTATTACGTTTAATGGGGTTTTGACATGGGTTACTGATGGCGGAAAACTCCAAACACTCGGGTAGTAATATCGACGAACGCAATTTGTGCTCCCCTTTAGTCGGAAAAATTGTGAGAAGACACATTCGGATTGTTCTTTTAATATTTCTTGAGCAAAGTTCCTATCGTTGGGAATAGTTTATGCTTGGTCTTCTTTCCAGAACTTTTCTCCCTAAATTTTACACTAAATTTGGACGGCATAAATTTTCGTCTTACAATTTTTAATATTTTCTTGTTAAAATTTTTATTGGTATGATATAGTTTGTCTTCCCATTTTTCTTGGCACGTGTTGTCTGCGTAGAACGATTAGAAATACTCGTCGAATTTTAACAAACACATGCTCTCAGTTCTCATTTTTAAGCTAGACTTCCAGAAAGTGAGCTAATGTAATAAGATCCGGCTACTTTAATGTTTTCTCGACGTTTCATAACCCCTAGCGTACGAAAAAATGGGTATCCCATTTCCATGTGTCTGTTGTCTGTGTCGATTTTATTAAACAGATAATTTCCGCAACTACCGCACCAAACATACACATACATATATATTAGTACTTGATTGTACTATGTAATTCTATAAAATATTAGAAGTCTTCAACAGAGTTGTAATTGAAATTTTTTTTTTTGGATAAGACTTGATACTCTCTTCTGAGCGGCAAAATCATGCATTCTCTTAATAAACGAACTTCACTAAGATTGCTGTCATATCATGGAAACCAATTTTCTACCTTGCCAAAGACTTCTCGAACTAAGATTCCGCATAATCAAGGTTCTACTGTAGTCCTATACTTCTTATGAATCCGCCTTCATGTTTTACCTTAGGTATCCAGATTTTCGTAAAAAAATCGAAGACCACACTTTATACAAGATAAGAGCACTGCCGCCTTGTAAACTCCGGAGCTGTACTGAATTACCAACCCGAACATCGCTCGTTTGATTGACTTATGGGTCACAATTTTTTATTGATGAAAATAAGAACAACTCCCAAAATTGAGAATACATTATTGTTGCGCCCGCCTATATTTAATAATAGTAAAATAAGAATTATTACATTAACAGCTTAATATTTAACTTTAACCAACATAATATTCAGAACATTTTGTTCCACTGTAGCTTAATTAAGAATTGTATCGCCTCCTCTAATTTGAGAAGACAGGTTGCTAGGTGCTTAATCGTCGCATTATTTCGGTATATAAACATATATTTAACATTGTCGGTACCTGTGCGAACTGTACCTTCCGTGCCCAGGGACTGTCATAGAATGTTTCTTTACCTGTACTTAAACAGTTCACACATATTTATTTCACTTTATATAGGTTGTCATAGAAAATAAATAGTTTTTATATTTTAAAAAAGCGATATTTGTTCGAAAGTACTTCAGGAGCGAGGGATGTTCTGTCTAAATAACGTTGTCTGTTATGTCCGAAACAATAATTAAACATTACCATGAGGAAGAGACATATGATCTAACCTTTTTTTGTTAGTTTTTGTGATAACTGAAGCATTATTTTGTTGTTAAACATACCAAAAAACCCACTTTAAGACCACAGATCTCTACCAAAATGGAAGAAGGAATTGTTTCAATATTATTCCTCGTATCTAATGATATCCCACGATAACATGCACGACATTCCGGACAGTCTGTATAAAATAACATACTCCTATACTTGTGGTTTATGAATCCGCCTTGCTTTTTAGCAGTTACATTTTGGTGGAGTTATAATGATTTCAAAATTGGTTCTTTTGCTACGTTTAATAACTAAACAACACATTCATTGTCACAATAACTAGTAATAAAACTTTTAGTTAATATTTCTCTCGCCCATGACCATGTTTAATTACAATTTCATACAGAATGTACAAAGATATAGTTGTGTTGTTTTTGTAATTACTTGATAAAATTCCATTTGACAACAATGTTTCTTAGGGGATACGTCATTTGCCAAAGTCAGTCTTATTTTAGTAGGTACTAGCCCCGCCCACCCGCCCTCTATTTTCTTAGAGGGATCTCATTAGCCAAAATCACTCTTATCTTAACAGGTACTAGCTTTCTAAGAAAATAAAGGGCGGCTGGGCGGAGCTAGTGCTTGCCAATATAGGGCTGATATTGCCAAATAACATACCCTCTAAGAAAATAAAAGGCAAGCGGGTGGGGATAGTACTTGCCAAAATAGGACTGATTTTGACAAATAGCATACTTTCGAATAAAATAAAGGGTGGGTGGGCGGGGCCAATACTTGCCAAGATAAGACTGATTTTGCCAAATGATATACCCTCTACCCTTCATTTCCTTAGAGGGTTTGCCATTTGCGAAAATCAGTTTTATCTTAGCAGGTACTAACTAATTCCCCGCCCGCCCGCCCTTTAATTTTTTAGAGGGACCTCATTTGCCAAAATCAGTCCTTCTTAGCAGGTACTAGCCCCACCCACCTACCCTTTCTTTTCTTACAGGATATGCCATCTGCGAAAATCAGTCTTATCATACAGGGACTAGCCCCACCCACCCACCCTCTCTTTTATTTATTAATGAAAAATAACAGCTTGTTTTATTAATATAATGCACAACGATTAATGACTACTGATTAATGTCCTAAAAAAATAAAGGGTGGATTTCAGTCACCATCATTACAAGGAAATTAGAAAGTAAGCCGGAGGTATTCATGCATTAGGTGCGTGCAATGTTGCCAATTTTACTTTTATAAAATTACATTTTTTTCCGTAATCTATGTCATAAAGAGTTTTTTTATTATTTTTTTGGGATTCCCGAAACCCTCGTACATAACATGCTGAAGAGTTAATCCGCCATTTTCCAGACACCCGGATAATTCAATATTTTAGCCAATTTCTGCGTAAAATGACTCTATTTTTAAATTTCTCTGTTCAACAAAATTCACAGTACTTTGAATTGTGAAGTTTAACTGACAATTTCTCAGCTCTTCATAGAAAATATTTTAAAGGAGCTGGTTCTATTTTTTCGAAAATTCCCAAACTATGTCAACATTCAGTGACAAAAAGTCATTTGTTGAGGGCCATGTTAAGATTCAGGTATATAGCGGGGATTCAAGCCCACCTCTTATCGGAAATTAACCTGGCAAATTTAATTAAATTTCAGTAGGATGTCGGACTATTTTGGAGGTGAGTTTCCCGTTTTTTTTTTTTAGTTCAGTTGAGGCACGGTCGATGTATCAGAAGGAGTTTTTTACGCGGGTGACGACCGTTCTTTTCTTAAGGGTGAGTTTTCTGGCTCATTTCGGTCCATCAGACACTTTTAGGGGGTAGATTTTTTGTTCTAGTATCAGCTGCTTTTTTCTTGGGAGGTGGGCACACTTTAAACATGGCCGGTCCGTTAGAACTTTTAGAGCTAAGTTTATTAGCTTTTTTGTGTAAGTAACTGCTTTTCTGTGTAAATGGCAGCATTTTTATTTATGAGTGAGTCTTACTTTGATTCGGCTACGGTCGACACACTTCGTGCAAGTTCCATTCATTTCGGACAAAGTATAATAATAGCACCAGCACTTAAATCTTGACAGACAACGCCAACTCTAATTCAATTTATTTTCAATCGCATAACATTATTAGTAACACTGTTCTGCGTATACAGTGGAATAAAATACATTTAATTTAATCTATTCAGAGTACGGCCACGTTCTAATTTTTAATCATAGTTTACTACTTTAAAGATAGGTTTATAAACGTAGAAAAATATATGGAAATATGGACATTGTAAAATTTTTCTAAACGATTTTCAGGACTATTTTAAAGGATGTGATTGGTAATTACACTATATTAACTAGTAGGGGAACGAGGGGCTTGTTGTAACAGTTTTTAGGAAAACGAATATAATTTGGTATCTATTAGCTGTTTGACCATTATAAAAGTATCTATCGGTAGTCTAACTATTCCCCTATTGGACTGAACAGGCAAAAGGTCAAAATTGTTCATCTTCACTTCACACCAGGCATTTTCTTAAAAAAAGTGCAGTGTTACAACTTGCCCCGTGGTTGGGGCTAGTTGTAACAGCCATGAGACAGGTAGTAACAGTAAAAATAAAGCTGATGTTGATACATATTTAGACTTTATTTTTCAAACATCAACACAACACTTCATTATATACAATTTTTTTTCAGTAAA